GTGACATGATCCTATAAATAGAAAATTCCAGAGATTCCACAAGAAAGTCACTGGAACTGACAGAAGAGTTCAGCAAAGTGGCAGGGTACAAGATCAGCATACTAAAATCAGTTGGATTCCTCTACACTAACAAGGAGAATTCCAAAAAGGAAAGGAAGAAAACAATACCATTTACAATAGCCCCCAAAAGCATAAAATAACTAGGAGTAAATCTAACTAGGGACATAAAAAGGAAAACTACAAAACATTACTTTAAGAAACCAAAAGAGACCTATATAAGTGGAAAAACATACCATGCTCATGGATTGGAAGACATAACATTGTGAAAATGTCAATACTACCCGAAGCAAGCTATAGATATAATGCAATCCTTATCCAAATCCCAATAACACTCTTTAATGAAATGAAAAAACTGAAAAACTATTCTCCAACTTTATATAGAAAGGAAAGAGGTTTTAAACAGCTAAGACCTTTTTAAAGAAGAAGAAGAAATTAGCGGGACTCACACTTCCCGATCTCAGAGCTTAATATACAGCCACAGTAGTCAAAACAGCCTAGTACTGGTACAACGACAGACAATGGAATAGAGCAATGGAACAGAATTCAAACCCAGAAGTAAATCCATCCAGCTATGGACAGCTGATCTTTAACAAATGGTCAAAGTGCATTCAGTGGGGAAGAGATAGTCTCTTTAGCAAACGGTGCTGGCAAAACTGGATATCTATTTACAGAAAAATGAAACAGTATCCATACCTCACACCATGCATAAAAACTAACTCAAAATGAATCAAAGACCTAAATGTTAAACCAAAAACTATAAAGTTCCTGAAAGATAACATAGGGGAAAAATCTAGGGATCTTAATTTAGGGCATAAATAGACTATGAAACATAACTAAAACTGCAATGAACAACAGAAGATAAGCTAGATAACTGGAACCTCCTAAAAATTAAATACTTATGCTCATCAAAGTCTTTACCAAAAGTGTAAAAAAGAGAATCTACAGGCTGGAAAAAAATTTTGGCAAAGACATATATGACAAAGGTCTAATCTCTAAAATATATAGAAAAATTCTACACCTCAACAACAAAAAAACAATCAAATCAAAAAAGGGGCAAAGGACATGAACAGACACTTCATCAAAGAAGACATTTAAGTGACTAACAAA